GTATTACACAAATGCTAACAAGTGAATTAAACCTGAATTGAAGTTGTAATACACAGATGCTAACAAGTGAATTAAAACTGAATTGAAGTTGTATTACACAGATGCTAATAAGTGAATTAAACTTGAATAAAAGTTGTATTACACAGATGTTAAGTAGTGAATTAAACCGGAATTAAAGTTGTATTATACGGATGCTAACAAGTGAACTAAAACTGAATTGAAGTTGTATTACACAAATGCTAACAAGTGACTTAAACATGAATTAAAGTTGTATTACACAAATGCTAACAAGTGAATTAAACTTGAATTAAAATTGTATTACACATATGCTAACAAGTGAACTAAAACTGAATTGAAGTTGTATTACACAGATGCTAACAAGTGAATTAAACCGGAATTAAAGCTGTATTACACGGATGCTAACAAGTGAACTAAAACTTAATTGAAGTTGTATTACACAAATGCTAACAAGTGAATTAAACATGAATTAAAGCTGTATTTCACAAATGCTAACAAGTGAACTAAAACTGAATTAAAGTTGTATTATACAAATGCTAACAAGTGAATTAAACCTGAATTGAAGTTGTATTACATAGATGCTAACAAGATATTATACTTATTAGAGAAGAGAACTGAATACCAGACACTCACAGGAACTTGAATCAAACGAAATCTCAACATAAATCATCAAACAAAAAGGCAGACAAGTAACGTAAACATAAATCAAACGAAATCTCAACATAAATCCAAACAAAAAGAATAAATTAAACTTTTAAGATCACAATTGCAAGCTCACATTAAAGGATCAGTTAAGTGCAAAGGAGACCAACAAAAATCGCAGATTCCAGTGCAAGTAACCTAAACTAACAGAGCTTACTCAACACTAACCTTTAAATTGCAATGGCGAGAGAAAATTGAAGTCGCCGGAAAAAAATTATAATCGCGAGAGAGAAAAAAATTGCAATCACGGGCGTGGAAAAATTTTAGGGCAAGAGAAAAAATATGAAGTTGAATATTCAATTAAATTGACATTTATCGTTAAAAAAATAATACTGACAAATATGGTAATTATTTTTTAAAAAGTAGACACACAAGTTATTTTCCCAAATGTATTTATGTAGTAGAGTAGAATTTAGCAACTCTTGAATAAATTTAGGAGTATATACTATATAGTAATGAAATTTTTCAAAGGGAAAATTACTTGAAGAATATAGTATCATAATATTAAAATTATCTATAATAAGTACCAAAGTTTTCTAGTTTTTCAAAAATACCCTATTTTTAATATCAAAACTATCTCAAGTGGTGTCGACCGACACTGTTCCATTGAAAATTTTTAGTATCATAGTAAAAATATTATTAACGACATTATTTGAGAAAATGAGCTTCTTTGAAATATATTAATATGGTGCGCGGATGGAGCATGTCATTCTCTCAAGCTAAGTGTGGCCGAGTTTGAACCTTGAACCTCCAATCGATGGTCAATGGGATTTTAGCAACAACTTTGTGAATATGATTGTACATTTGATTTATTTAGTTATATGATTGAATCTATTATTGAATATTGTGAATGATTTTTTAAGCGTTTAAGCTTACGTGCTTCGAAATTGTTCAAGATTCGAACTTTCATAGAAAAACATTCGTGTTCGTAAAAGCTAAAGTGTATACTAAAGCTCAAACAACACCTGATGTTGATTGTAGGGGTGGGCATAAACACCGGAAAATCGAAACACCGAACCGAACCAAAATTTTTAAGAATTTCGATTTTCGATTCGATATTTGGTTTACTTTTTTGTATTTTTTGATATTTCGATTCGGTATTTCGATTTAAACCAAAATATTATACTATAATTTATATTATATTAATTAATAATTATTAATATTAAATATTTAAAAAACAAAGAAAGTAAGAAATAGAAACCCTATGGTCCTACTCCTCTCTCTTTCTAGTTTCTACTGATTTTCTTTTTCTCCTTTCCTCTTCCTCTTCTCCTTCAGCAGCGCCGGCCGCCGCTAGGAGAAGCAGCAGCGCCGTCCGTCCAGACGTCCATCAGAAAAAGGCAAGAAGCAGCAGCAGTCGCGAGAAGCAGCAGCGTCGGCGTCCGGCCGTCCACCAGAAGAAGAAGAAGCAGTCGCGCCACACCGTCAAGCAGCCAGCAGCAGCGGCGCCGTGCCGTCCGCCATCAACATTCAACCAGCCAGGCGCCAGCAGCCGCGCAGGAGTCAGGACAACAGGTCTGTCCGTTTGTTTTTTTAATTTTTTTTGACTTTTTTTATTTTTTTTCTTTTTGATTTTGTTTTTATTACTAGTTATTGTGATATATATATATATATATATATATATATATATATATATATATATAGTTGGCTAAACAAAAATAATTAAATATGGGTGTAGCTGATCAAAGTCGAATAAGTATGGTTGATTCTACGGATAATACACCTAGTAATAGCAATGATCCGTCAATTGACACAGAAATAATAATAAAAAAAAAAGAAATGGATCCTAGATCTCCTGTTTGGCAACACTTTGAAAAGGTTTTTGAAAATGGTGTATTTATTAAAGCAAAGTGCTTGCATTGTAAACAATATTATGCTGCCAATACAACAAGAAATGGAACAAGTGGATTAAAACAACATTTGATTATCGGTGTAAAGTGTATAAACCTCCGACTGTTGCACCCAATATTCAAAAATTATTAAATATTCAAAATAACAATTTAGAGACTTGGAAATTTGAGCAAGAGGTATGTAGGAGAGCTTTAGTTGAGATGATTATTTTGGATGAACTACCTTTTAGTTTTGTTGAAAAAGAAGGGTTTAACAAGTTTATGAGTAAAGTCCAGCCTTTGTTTTATATTCCTTCTCGTAGAACCATAACAAGGGATTGTTATGAAGTTTATGGTGAAATGAGAATAAATTTGAAACAATCT